AAATATTCATTTATTAATTAAATAGGTAAGATGCAATATTTTTTTTTTCATTGAACTTGGTCAAATTTAATATTTAAATAAATAAATTATTCATTTACCTCGATATTGATTTTATAATTAAAAAAATGGTATTTATGATAATCCATTAAATCGTAATATTTTTTATTTTTCAGAATTTAAAATACAAATATTTAAGACTTTCGAAAATATTCAAATAAATACAAATACAAAAAAAAACAATAGTTTTCGTGTTACTGTCTTCTAACCCTAGAGGGCTTAACAATTCACACCATAATGAGTCGCTTTAGTCAATAACAATCTTATTTGACAAGCCAAGATCTTCCCAAATGGAGCCGCCTTTATGACTCCTATCGCTTAATGTAGGTATATTAGAATTGAGGAAAAAAATATAATTAATATTATCATTGATGAAAAATTAGACGAAATAAAATTATATTAACATATAGATTCGGAGACATTTAATTTTGTTATTTATAAATTTTGCTATAATATACATCATGTAAATCGGGTAAAATCTTATTTCCCGATAAATTATAATTCTGAGAAAAGCGATTTGCCATCTATCTTTTGGGAAAATTATTAATGTTTTCTTTTAATTTCTTCATCCCTTCTTCTTTTTTTTATTAGATAACTTTTCAGAATTCCCCAAATAGTAAGTTACGTGATTGATTTAACTGCAAAAAAAAGATTTGAGTACGTACCGAGAGATGAGAAAGTCGTCAATGCTAGAGATCGATGTAGAGAGGCTATGAGATTGGATGATGCTTGCTTGACAAATTTTAATATGATAAAAATATAAGGGAAGGAGCCTTCTTCAAAGTTATTTTGACAAAGGTAGCAGCAACTAAAGAGCATTTTTTTTAAAAATAATATTAGCTCTTTTAATTATATTACTTTCTTTAATTTAATATAATGTAATTAATCTCAATCTAATTCACTTTTCATATGCTTTTTACTATAGTTTTCACGTGGGATTGACACAATCAACATTGCATTCTTGTGGTCATCAAATCTAATAGCTTCTTTATACCCAACTTTAGGTATTCTTTACCATCTCTTTATTATCTCTAACTTCGTATTCCCTGATCAAATCTTTTCTCCATCATTCCGGGCCGCTTTTGGCAGTTGATCAATCGTGCTTTTTCTATATACTTTTTAGTTCCTTATTAAATTATGTAAAACGTTTTTACTTGCCCCTTTTTAACTGAGCTCTCCAATTTTCATTTAAAGTAACATTCATATCTTATTTTTTGAGAATAATACAATATATTTTAAACCTTTTAAATAAATAACAGTGATGATTAATTTAATTTGATATAGTTGAAAATATTTTTAGAAGTTTTTTTTGTTGACAAACCAACGGTTATAAGAAATTAATATGATACTCTATGCGACGGTTATTCGTTCATGAATTAATTTTAAATTTTGAGCCGTGACTGGGACTGACAAGCTACCAAAAATATTATTGCATGTGTTTGGGGAAAGGATAGTGGGGTAAATTATTTTACAAATCATTGAAAATTTAATCTTACAAATTTGTACTTTTAGTAATTTATATAGAATAAAAGAATATATATTATTAAATTTAATTAAATTTAATTAAATTTGCTATTCAAAAAGTAAGTAATTTTATGATAATAATAAATCTTTCAATGGATTTTAAGGCGTTTTACTGTCTGTTAATAAGCACTGTATTCAACATATTCCACATTTATTATAAATATATTTTAACATTGTTTAGATTAGAAGAATTTATAATCCAGTCTTTATAAAAATCTAATTAAGAACGAAAAATAAATAATTTCGATGGAAAATTTCCTGAAAATATCATTTAATTAATAATGGTCTGTGTTGGCCATATTAAAGAAAAATCCTGGGGAAGACAATTCTAAATCTAACGTAGTCACATAAATTTGAAATCCTATAAGCTGGTTTTGCTAAAAAATTCTTTTAAAATAAATTATATGAATATTTATAATTATGCGAATACATTTATTACATATAATTGGACCTGTGCGTCAGTTGAATTCAAGATTATCCTTCGATAAACTTTATTGATAACTATAAAATTACAAAATTGAGTTTATATTTATAATCAGTTTTTTTTTTTCAATAAAAGATCATAAAATATACCAATATTTTTGTATATTTTATTTTTAATTTAACTTTTCTTTAAAAAAATTTAAATATCAATTTAAAAAATATATATAATAAGAAATTAATTTTAGTGCGCTGATTTACGCCGCCTATATTGAGGGCGGCTAAAAAGTTGCGCGCCGCTAGCTACCGATTATTATTTAACTCGCGTAGGTGACCGATAGTACAGGTTTACATATAATATTATCTCCTTTCCTTTAGTAATAACTGTCTTTATTTTATATAATAACGATTTGGCTTCATCTTACTTACTTGCCATATGTGCTTTACGGTAGTATTCACGTGAAACATTCACACTCAAAATGGCATCACAGAACAAATAGCTTCTTCATATCTAAGTTCGTTCCTCTTTACCCTCTCCTCATCGTCAAATCCAATTGCTTATTCACATCCAATTTCAACACATCACAGCTATTATCTCCATTATACTTTCCGACCAAATCATGGCTCACTTTATTTTTCCAAGCGCTCTTTTAGCAGTCTAACTAGAGGCCCTTACTCCATTTTGTTCCTTTTCTAAATTATATAATAAACATCTGTATTTATTTTATATTTTTACCTAGCCCCCATTTTCTACTGAGCGCCACACCGGTTTACATTCAAAATAACATTCTTTTTCCTTTTTTTTTGCGCAACGAGAGAATAATAATTTACATAACATATTTTATAATTTTTGAATAAATAATAACATTGATGATTTTATTAGATATTATAAATTAAAGCCTATTTCTATATACTAAAATGAACTTGAGAATATTTGTGTATAATATTTACTAATCCGAAGCCATGAATTGATACTCTATGCCACATGATGGGTCATATGCGCATAAATTAATTTTAAATTTTGAGCCGGGACTGGGCCAGACTTTACTTTATGTAATTAAGAGGGGTGGGTGAATTTTGAATCAGGATATATTGTTTGTTTGTTTTTTTCAAATTTCTTTCATTCTCCATAATATACAAATATAATAGGTATATTTTTAATTCTTATAAAGCCAAATATAAAAGCTACTAACAAGCCTGTAAATGCAAAAATAGAAACATGGACAATAAGTTTTAGTAGCGTTATTTTGATATAAGTATATTTTTCATCAATTTATTTTTTAAAGTTTTAATTACGTTAGTTCAATAAATGGACTTGAAACATCTCCAATTCTAGGTTTTTTTTACTGATATCCACAATAAATAAATGTTATCTTTTTTATTATTAGGTTTGAAGAAGCCTTATTTGTGGTAAATTGAGTTTAATGCACGATAAATATATATTATTATTAAATTATTTATAAAATAACCATCTCACATGATAGATATAAACTGTAAAAATATGTTGAAAAATATGTAAAGAACTACAACCGAAAAATTATTTATAATATATTGTTTAAACTTTTTTCAAATTGAACGAATGTAATAAAAGTAAAAGTTCGTAAAAAATTCGCATAAAATAAAAGAATTATCACACATCATATTTTTTTCAAAAAAACAATTTTATTAACCGGATCAATTTCATGGCACATATAGAAAAACACCTATTATAAATTATATAAGAGTAAAATATTAATAAACTTATAATAAATGACTGTAGTATAATAATAATTAATTCCTTAAATATTTTGATATGAATAAATTTTACAACTAAATCATTCCTGAAATATTATTATCCAACTCAATTTTAATATTTTATTTTCGATAAATTACATGGAGTTTTTTTTTTATTGAAAGATTAACTTTCAATATTTAAAGATTTAAATCTTGTGATAAAATCTGATCTCATCATATAATCTAAAATTCCATTTTATTACTCTTATTTACCAAACTTTAAGTCATACCACCCAAAAATTTATCATACCATTTAAAAAAAATTCTAATGTAAGTGGTTTCTTTTTGCGTAGCCAAAGTATTTAAAGTTTAAATATTACAAAACATATCTAGATTTATCATGATTTAAAGCATGAGCTTTAAAAATCAATATAGAAAAGAAATTAATTATTTTAAGAGAGACTTAATAAAGTGAATTAGATTAAAACCGTCAACTTTAAAATTACGCTTTGACTGAATTCTTATATATCTAGACCTCTCGAAGATAGTTCATTCTCTCTAAGATTTAATTAATTATCATCCCTTTTTGCATAAAGAATCGATTTTTTAAGTATTTTAGATTTTTCTGTAATCTAGGAGATCGTCAATCTTTTATCTAGTAATTGATAATCCAGAAATTTAATGAGGATCTTTTTATCACATTTTACTATTTAGATTGTTCGTAATCCATTCTAAATTATTAGTAATAGTAAATGATGAATAGTAGCTAAGTATAATATTTAATAAAACTGCTAATAATATTTATAACCGTTTGTTTAGCATAATAATTTCTAACTTAAATCTATAATTTAATTTCTGAATTATTATAGTAGTCTTCATTTGCATCCTAATACAAATTTGAATAATAAATTTTAGGTGTATTTGTGGAATTTTTTTTATTCCCAATCGATCATACAGTAATGTTTTAATGAAGCTCGACACGTTTAGTTATAGCTTAAAACTTAAATCTCATGCGCACATAACCTCATCATGTCGCATAGAGATTCATGGCGTCTTTCAATTTATTAATAATGTAAAAATATTCTTAAGTTCATTTAACTTAAAATCTAACGATATTTTCACATCTTATATAATTTGTTTGACAAGAATCAAAACTTCTAATAATATATATAAACACGTATTTTCAACAATATCTGAATAAATCATCATTGTTCATTTGTTATAAAATTTGAGATATGTTGTCTAAAAATTTGTTTATGTGCTTTAAAAAAGATGGGAGTGTTCCAATGGAAGAGAACGGGCGCGTCCAGTTGAAAAAGGGTAAATAAAAAATAATAAATATTTAACATTTGTATAACTTATAAATAGAACGAAAAGGTTTTTGTAGAAAGTTGAGAGACTGGTTCGACTGGAAGAGACGCGCCCGGAAACAGGAAGGAAAGAATTTTATTGGGGATAACGGACCTGTTAAAAAAGACATTGAAAGAGTTTATTGCAGCGATATGGTTGAGGCTAAATTAAAAAATTATAGCATGATTAATGTCATTGGTCAGGGTGCCTATGGGAAGGTACTTTTGGCCGAATCAAAGGCAACTAAAGAGCTTTATGCTCTGAAGGTTATACAGAAAAATCCCCTAAAGCCTCAGAAGGTTATTTCTATACTTATGAAAATTGTTTATTTGTTTCTTATAAATAGTCATGATATTATAATATTACATTTTAAGAGTTTAAAACAATGATTACTCAAATCTGATGCAATTATTTCTTGAAAATGTTCTATAACTTTTGAAAGATTTAAAAACTAACATTTTTAAAAAAATATTCATTGCTACCAATTTTATATCTACCATATTTTTATTATAGACATTTGATAGGTTCCGCATCGAAAAGGAGATCTTAGAAACTTCTAGAAACAATCCATTTATAGTGAAATTTCATTCTTCTTTCGAAACTCCCTCCAAGTATATTGAATAATTTTGCTAATGATTAGAATGTATTTAGAATATATAAATTTATTGTAACTTTATACATTAAATATATAATTATAACAAAAAGTAACATGTTAAATGGCTCTTTGTAATCTATTATAGATATATATTCGCTCTCGAATACGTAAATGGTGGTGACCTACGTCGGTTCATGAGAAAAACAGGGAAACTGTCAGAGGATTCTGCTAAATTCTATTTATCGGAGATTATAGTTGGGCTAAATTTTCTACATTCTATGGGTATTATTTCAAACTTGTTCTTTTAAATAAGCTAGATTTTAAAATGAATGTTTTTTTTTATTGTCATTCATTTTATAATAAAATTTTCGATATAAATGACTGTTATATTAGTGATATCGCAAAATCTTTATTTTTATATTTCAGGAATAGCCCATAGAGATCTCAAACCCGAGAATGTGCTCATAGATAAAGATGGGCACATTCGAATTACAGATTTTGGATTAAGCAAAGTAACATTTTCAATTTCTTTTTTTTTTAGAAATCAACATGTCTAATTTTAAAGTTTCTTTTGGTAAGCCCAGTCATTTAGTCACTCTCGCAGTAAATTATTACCCTTTGATAAAACAAATAATATTTTACGGATTCATTCGTATAATTTAGTTTTTATTAATCTATCAAATCATATTTATAAGGCCCTTTCACCCTTTAATTAATATTTAATTTATGTTATTAACTACTCTAGATCGGTCTAAATGGTAACAAAAAAACTCGGAGTTTATGTGGGACCCCAGCTTACCTGGCCCCTGAAATGATATGGTGCAAAGGCTATGGTAAATGTTTTAATTTTTTTTTCCTTATTTTCCAATATATTATTTTTGATATTTTATGCATCAAATAAAATCGGGAAAGGAGGGAGAAGGTAACAATTAGTTTCTAAAACGATATATTATTTAATTGTGTTTTGATGTTTATATTTGCCATTTTAGATAACATATTATAATTTGGAATTAATTATATTTTTTAAAAAGCAATGTTTTTACAATAATACTGCAATTTATTTTTAATATAACTAATTAATAAAACTAATAAGGGTTTAGTGTCGATTTTTATGCCCTAGGAATCATTATGTATGAGATGTTGACTGGAAACGAGGCATTTGTTTATGCGCAAGAGCAGAGAAGAACTTTGTGTCAAAGTAACTTCCTTTTTTTTCACTGAAATCTTTTACTATAATATATACCCATGACATGAGATCTTTATAATAAATATATTAAAGTTCTTTTTCTTATTTTCACAAAACTCTAATTTGTATTACACTATGTAATTAAAACTGTTTGCATATGCTAGTAGAAATTTTTATTGAAAGGTCATCAATATATAATCATATTTGAATGAATATTTAGTAGATTTGATGGAAAATTTGTATAGCAAACACCTGACAATGTTTGCTTCCGATTTGGACATTTTTCTGTTTTTGTAAATACATTATAAGATATAAGAATTCCCCTTTCCCTTCTCATAAATTATCACTCTTTCCCAAAATAAAGTATTCCAATATTTTATTATAATAATAATCTATAAGAAATAAAATAATAAGTTAATATTTAATTTAGAAATAATGAGACTGTAATTCAAAATTTATTAGACAAAAAAACAGTTTAATATGAAAATAAATAAAAATTCAAAATATTATTTTGAATAATACAACCATAATATAACTTATAGTTGGAACCTCGCATAGTTGTTTGCTCCACCCTATCAAATTTAAATTGCACTTTTAATTTGATAATATTTAAAATTTGCTTTTATATGAGGTAAAGTTAATAAATTTTCCTATCCTATGCGAAATTCAAAGTCAGCTAAATCTTCATTAGCTTTTGAGTTAGAATATTAGAAAAATTAATTTTTTGGAGAAATATTTCTATTTAAAGATTGAGAACAATATGTTAATTAATTGAAGTAAATACTATATTAATCTATTATTACATTTTATTTAATTTGATTTTAATACGGTTTACCTTTACCATCTAATTTTTTGTCAGATATATATTTGAATTTTCAAACTTATTTTCGATTTACTTTAGCTTATGCTGTTCTTAAAAAGGCAAGATAACTAATCTATATTTGAAATTAACCCAATAGGACAGTTAAAATTATTAAGAATACTTTCGGGTTAAGATAGACCAAATTCATAATATATAATATTATAATTATGATCTAAAATAAACATAAAATTTATTTTTAAAACATGATGTAACTACCTTATGAATTGCAATTGATTTTGCCATGAAATTTTGCGTATCTTTTATAAAAAATCTAAATGCTCTAAAAATCATCCTGGAAGTTATTAGGCTGTTAATATGCTCATGCTAGAATGGGTTGCTCTGGTAATCTAATTTTTTTAAAATTATCACCCTCCTAAATATAGTCATCATTATCAAATAATGCCTCAAAATCTATAAAATTTGCAAAATTACCCGGAAAATTAGTTTCAGTCCAAAAGTTGATGATTAAATAAAAAATATTTGACGATTCCTTGAATATATCAGTTGTTTAATATTTCTATAGACTTAATTCTAACCTAATGAAGATTCATTTATACTCATATATACATTGAGGCAAACTGCAGTCAATGTCATTGGCTGACATAGACCGCCATTGTAAGGTATTTCACTTAATTTCACTTAATTTCACTTTATCTTTCGGCTTTTCCATGACGGACTTAAATTTTAATCAGGATTGTTATCAGTGGCGTATCCAGGATTTTCCTATAGGGGGGGGAAATTTTTGGGGGGGGCTTTGCCTCCAAACCCCTTTTGGCCAGCTTTTTCCTCACCTTCGGCCGGGTCATATCTTTGATCTATTCTTTTAAATTATTCATAATTCAATAATAATTATATTAATATTTTTAATTTTTATTTGAATTTTGGTTCCTTTTATAAATTAATTATTTAAGAAATATTTTTTTTAATTTTTAAATTTAACATTTATTAATAAAGACAAATTAAATCTGACAAAATGATAGTATAAAAATAAAATCATGTCCAAAACATAATTCTAGAAAATTCAAGAAATTTAACAAACAAGGACTTCATAATACAAAGTATAATAATAGATATAATAGAAATATAATAATTGCAAATGTTTATATGAAGAAGAATTGGGGGGGGGGGGGGTCTAAATAATTTAGGGAAGAAGAAGAAAATCTAGATTAATCGGCTCCTCGGGGAATGAACCTATGGCGTGTAAAATTAGATTTTATAATCTGAATTCCTATGCGTTGACGTAAGTAGTCGCTTTCTTTTGGGTCTCCTGATTACTAATTCGCGCTTATGAATATAAGAAGAAATAAAAGTTATAACCCAATTTTTATTTTAAGTTAGGTATATTATAGATAAATTTTTTTTAAAAAATAAAATTGAAATAAAGTTTATCAATTTTTTTTTATAAAATTTGCTTTAAAAACTAGCCTCAGCTTAAATTCTCATATAATATAAATATAAAATTTTTTGATTGAAAATTCTAATTGTAGTGAGTATAAAATATTGACTAGAAAATTTTTTAAAGAACAAGTTTTTATAACTTATTAAATACAATATTATATAAAAAATTTATTAAATACTAGAATTATAATGCGATTTTTAATTTTCGTGGGAATTTTTCCAATTCATCAAGAATTTTCTTTGTCGTTGGAAATAAATCTCTGTGGATATTTAACATAGCTAACCCATTTAGCCGAGAAAGAGTATTTTGTAAATAAGTTTTCAACCTTCTCAATTTGAAAAAGGTCCTTTCATTCGTATATGTTGTAATAGGCAAACATGCAAGAATACCTTCAAAATAAATTAAGCCTCCTTATACCTATATAAGCGCATTTTTTAACATACTCAGGTAAAATAGTCAGAATCATGTAGTCAAGCTTTATTTTACAATACAAATATCATTGATAAAATAAATTTTAAAATAAATATAAATTGTAGTAAAATTTTGACTAAACAATTTAAGAATAACAATAATTGTTTTAGTAAAAATAAGAACAGTCATAAATCAGGTATTATAATTTGAAGATTACCAAAGACTTGTTTTTATCTAAAAACCGTACTTTAATTTGCGATAAAAAAGTATCTAAGAATGGAATGAAATTGGATATTTTATAAGATTTAATTCAACGTCTATATAAATATTATGAAATATTCAACTACATTCATTCTTCCTGTCCACATTTTCCTCCAAATCAATAACTTGAACCAAATTGAAATTTGGTTTTTGTAAATTTCTACATAGTAGTGAGCTATAGGAAAATAATTTATTAATGCAACTAGCAGTAAGGATAAACTTTGCTTGATATTGAAAAATTTTGATGGGGGAGGGGGTCCGGGGGTCGGGGTTAAATTTTTTATTATCTTAAAATAATATTTAGAAAAACAGTCAAATTTGCTATGGGGGGTGAAATTTCCCCCTTCCCCCCCCCCCCCATTGGTTAAGCGCCTGATTGTTATATAATAAAATTTTATACAAAAATTTTATACAAAAATTTTATAGGACTATTTGGAAAACGCAAAACAATGGGAATAACAAGTATATCAGAAGAGGCATCTGCGGTATTAAAAGGATTCTTACAAAAAGTTTGATATATTCAAATATTGAATATAATATGCATGTATATATTTTAATGATTAAACGGTCAAAATGTTTATATCCAATTTAATTTTAGAATCCGAAAAAAAGATTGGGGTGCCATCCCCAATCCGGTTTCAAGCAGATGGTTTCCATGCCATTTTTTAAAGCGATTGATTGGGAACTGGTAAATATTTTGAAACTTTATTGAAAGAAAAATTTATTAAATTGATTACATTTTTACATCACATTTTCTTAAATAAAACAATGATAAGCTCAAAGCTAAAAAAGTTATACCTCCATATAAACCATCACTGAGTGGAAGAACGGATATCTCAAATTTCAATTCAAAATTCAGGGCTCAGGAACCTATATTAACTTCAGAATCCCAGTAATTATTTTAATATTAAATTTATTATGGAATATGTAGTAAATCTAGATGCATGATACCCAAATTTCGTTAATCCAGTTATTTTGAAAATTCTTTAGGTTGTATATTTAAATTAAACGCGTGGCACAAATATTCAATTTATTAAAGTATTTTTTTGACACTATCCTTTTAATTATATAAAATTATTTTTCCTTATTTAATACAAATCTAATAAACATTTAAATACCGAACCCATGATTAAAAAACTATGAAATGTATAAAAATATGCTACCCTTTGCCTTGCGAGTAATTTGTCCATGAATGTGTTGTGGTTGTTCACAGCAAACTTTTGTAGGATCGGTATGACAAAAACCAAAAATTGCCTCATTATGACTTCAAGAAACCTCAATACGAATAGCTAATACTAATTTTTGAAAAAGTTAAAAAAAATGTGTACATTGGCTTCAATACATTATTCAGACCTGGAATTTCTTAAAAAAAATTTTGGAAGAGTTGTTCAGTAACAAATAATTTTATGATTATAGAATTAACTTCTTTACAAATACACTTCGGTGCATATACTCTAGAACATCTTCCATAGAATTGGGTAGAAATTTTTTGGATGGATTCTACGAGAATCGAAAAAATATTTTGTTAAGTTTGAAACATATTTACTCTGTTTTAAAATGTTGAGAGCATTTTTTAAGAATATTCTACTAACGGTTGCAATATATAATCTTGTGTCGTGATAGAATACAATTTTAGTTTTTAAAAGGTTTTTCCGTTTTTGTTTAATCGTACACCGTTTATAATGCTGTAGCATATATGGGTGAAGAGTGTTTAGTACATAAGTTTATTCTATAACCAGAAAATCTTATAATATTTTGTAAAACTATTTCATCATTTTTTTTAGGAATTCCAGGTCTGATAAATGTATTGAATCTACTTAAAATCTAAAACCAGAGGTAAGTCGTTAAATGTATTCTTTATTGGGGTTTCCCTAGGTCATAATAAGACAATTTATGGTTTTTTGTCAATCAAGTCCGATAAAAGCTTGCTTTGAGCAGTCACAACAAAAAAAATTAATTAAATAAACAAATATTCAATATACAAATATCTAATGAATATTTGGTATACGTGATAAAATGTCTGTTTGCTTTCATTTTATTTGGCATAGTTATTTATCTATCTTGATTAGATTTTCAAGAACATCTTTGTTATATTTCCTACATTTATTAAAATATGATGACGGGAAAGGAAAAATAGCGAGATTATTTCAAGTACCGCACAAAAAATAAGAGCAAATATAAATATTTAAAAAAAATTCTATATATCCCCTTTTAAATATGACTTTTATTTAAACTTTACTTTAGATAATTAAAGTTCAAAATGCATTAATTATGAGCTGTTATAAATTTTACAGCATAGAAACATTTTTATAAAGACCATATCAAAATTGCTAAATAAACATTTTGATCAAATTTTAAAAATATAAAATAAGACATAATTCAAAACTCTAGGATCGCTAACAATGAGCTTGAAGAGAAAATAATTCTCTTAGAAAAATATTATTGCATTTATACATTACACATTTTGTCGTTTATTATTGTTTATACATCTCTTATTTCGCCATTTTATTATTTTCAATTTAGAAATTTGGTTCAAAGTTTTACACCTTACATTCGAAATTATTCTAAAATCATTATCAAATATGGAAAGTCAGCCATATATGGTGCCTCCCCTCAACAATCCTTTGATTCCTTACAATCTAGGGACCGGATCACGTAACGATGAGTATATAAAAGATTTTAACTTTCTCCCGGAGGCATACTTGTGTTTCCACCTTCTACTTCCGTCTAAGTCCTTAATATCCAGAAGCTTTGGAAATGGGTTCCTAAGAAATAAAAATTATTCCGGATAGGTCTATAAAATTATTTCGGATAGGCCCTTCGAGAGAAACGGCGTCCAGCAAGGATAGCGTTCACATTTAGGAAAACGCAGACTCTGGGTATCCTTGCTCTAGTTGTTTTAAATAGGAATTTGGAAATTTTTATATTTTTGGTGATAATATTTTTCTAATGATAAATAATTTTTTTTTTTGGCTAATGTATTTTCCCAAAAATTTATATTTATAATTTATGTTTTCCTATTAATGATTTTAATTATTATGTAATGTTCTTATATATTTTTAATATTAACATAATGATTCTATTATATAATGATATTTTTTATTATTAATTTAAATTAAAAAATAATGATTTATTTAATAACGATGCAATAATATTTATAATATAATAATGATGTTATTATCAAACTTAATGTTTTTTCTTAATTATTAATATAATATAATGATTTCATGATATTATTTATTAAAAAATGATTTAAATTAAATGAAGCCAATTATAATAAATGTTATAATATGTTCTGAAATGTTTTTACACGAAAATTACTGTATTTGTTAATGATTAAATATAATGATTTTAGTATATAATGTTATAAATAATTATACGATCATATTTCTAATACAATAATGATTTTATAATATCAAACTTTATGATTTTCTTAATTATTATTAATATAATTATTATAAAATGATATTTTTTTTAAGAAATGAATAAAATGAATATGTCTCTTAAAATATTTATCCATGAATTATGATAATTTATGATATTTTTGCAATTGATTAAATATAATAATTGTATATGTATTAATATTGTTTCAAAAATTATTTTTTTTTATAATTAATTATAAAAATTTGAGCAGGTCTTTTTAAGATTATTTAATTATTACAAAATTTAACTATAGATTCGGTGAGTAGCGAATGAATAGGATAGTAGTGAAAATTTCCAATCCAAAAATGCAGATATTTGAATATTTCTAAAAATGCTTCTAGCAGACAGAAGTCATTGATTTCAGAGGAAACTATTATAATTTTTTAAGCTAAAATTTTCAGAGTAAATAACGTATTTTAATTTTTTAAGAAGTGTCATACCAAATAATTTTTTAAAACACGGTCTAAATCTCAATAATAAAATGTATGAAGTGGATATTCATTTATCGGTGCTTACCCCTTTTGAAAAATACCTGGCTATGCCTATAAGTCTCCTTACAGATCTAAAGTTTTTTCTAATATATTCTTATTAAATATTTTATATACCCATTAGGAATTTAACAGTTGCATAAATTAAAGAACATTTTATTCTATAAAGTAGAATTTAAAAAAAAAACCATCTAAGAAGTGCTAATTTGGAATATAAATTTGAATGAGCTGACCTTGAAATAATTTTTAGGAATTTATAATAAATACTGAAGTAACTATTGAAAACAACTTAACTAAATTTACAAAGCTTATCTCATATAATATTGTTTTTCTTAAATACCTTACCAGTTTAATATAACACGCATCTACGGAAGAATATTTTTGTATGTTAATCTATATTATTGCTAAGAGGTAACTGGTTACAATTTATATTTCGCAGAAAAGTATCTTATTCCCGATATTAACAACAATAGTGGTCATAACCGTAAGCAATGCTATTACCATTATAGAAGGATAACCTAAAACCGTCTAGTAATATTTACGAGAACCATGAAACAATATGTGACATTAAAATATTTTATTTTTCTAAGAAATGTAAACTTTGAAGATTCTATGAATCTTTAAATGGAAGATTTTGGTCTATTTATTTATTTCACTTCAATCTCACTTTGACTAATTTCATGAACCAAAAGACACTAAACAAGAATCCTTTAATTTTAAGAATAAAATTAAACACCTGATGGAGAAATTCTAATATTACACATATTTTTAAAGCAGTTAAAAATTTAAATATTTAAGTCTAGTATGATTTCCTGGTCTTTTTGTCCAAAATTACCACTCTGGAATCTTTCCGATTTAAAAGTGATGTTAGTATATTATTTTAATTACTCTTAAAAAAAACTAAATTGAAGAGTAGAGAAGAAATATGTTTTTTAGAACTAAACATATTATTTGAAGTTAACCATATATTTAAGTAAAGATGGCTTTAATCTTAAGCCGATTTTTAAAAATGGCTGACTCAATATTTTTATAACCGTTTAAATCTGCTCAAATAGAGCCGTTTAATAACACTACCTTTATCCATTATCATTTGTTTCTAATGAAGGATGTTGTCAACAATTTGAATTTTAGAGAAATTAATAGATAGACCTAATGAATAGGTTTTAAATGAAGACACGCATAAATAAATTTGCAGATTACACCATTATTCATCCCAAATATTAGATTGACAACCATAATTTAATGTGTTAATTTAAGGCCTTTTGATAATTATATCAAATTTTAAATAAAATTTATTAATATTATAAAACTCCATCTTGCAGAAATGAATTGAATATATTACAAATAAAGAAATTATATAACGATTTTTATAATATAAATATTTAATAATAAAAAAGTTATAAGTTTGTTTGAAGGTGTTTTGGAAAACATTACACACCGAATAATCCAAATAAGTTATTTAGTTGAATAAATGGTGTATATAATAAATATAGTTATAAAATTCTTTCAAAAGAAATTTTACTTCAATACAGTTGAAAAATTAATATATATTATAATATCCTCTTCTTTCTCTTGAGAATCCATTATTGTACAGCTATTTGAGCTGTACAATGTATGAATTTTTTTTTGCCATTAATACTCTAACTAAGGGTGCACGATAATGTGTGAAGTTATTTAAAACCGCATAAACGCTAATATTCTGTTTAATAATAAGCACTTTTGAGTCTTTTTCAAAAGTATACTATAATTTATTAGTCAACCCTAAAATTATATCAAATACTTTTCTCGTTTGATCGTTTCTGTAAATCAGTTCGATCAATTTCACAAGAAAAATGTTAGTCATTTTGGAGGAATCTGGCTTAAAATCTAAAATCCATTTTATAAAAACTTTTATAAAATAAATTCCAATCCAAAATCCTCAAGTTTATCATATATTTTTTTAAATCACTCAATAATGTTAACTTTATAAAATCAATTTTCGCAAT